GGTATACCTCATGTAGCCCTGTGTGTGCAGCCTATAAACTGAACTTGCTGCAGTGTTTTCAAGATCAAACTGTGTAGTTAGGACAAAACTGGTTTACAAGTGATGGCGCTTACATTTACCTACGGTTCTCATACTTCACCTTCTGTGTTCCTTAACGGTGAATAAAAATTGTAGTGTTAGAATTGAAAAAAAAAGTTTATCCGGGGGCAGCCTGACGGCCCTCCAGCTGTTTGTGGCTGCTGCATCTGATATGCACTCAGTGCGAGAGTCGTTGCAAAGGTGAGATTATCTAAACTTTATTCCACATGCGTAGCCCGACTGTACAGCTGTGAACAATAAATCTGCCTCCTGCTTGCAAACTGGATATTTTTAGGTATTTTTGTACTGCATAATATGCATCGAATTGCCATAGAGTGAGCCAATGGCAGTCCAACTGTACTATAACAACAAAGACCATTATTCCTTGCAGGTCATGCGGACATGTACATTGTGCAAGACATGCAGAGGGACCACAGCACAAACTAATACGAAATCGGTTTCAACTGTTATTGAGTTGTGGCCGAAATGACAATTCTCCAAAATTTCTTTGGGTTCATTATCCATCATAATAGCGAGGAAAATACACAAACCTAGATATCAATATTCGTGTCCTTTGTGTGTCTAGATCGAGCAAGGTGAAGACCTCATTATTATTCAGCCTCTAAACTGGCAAACTCTTAATTCCCAGTTAAATGCGACTTGTAAGAGAGTTTAAAACACGTTTGTGGGTGTATCTAAGATTTTATTATACCTCATATATTTCGCAAGACGAAATAAGCCAAGTCAAGTTGGCCCCGGAGCCCACATTACGCTATTTAATTGATTCACAATTGCCAAGGCGTTGAGAATGTTGAAATAAATTCTCAGAAGTGAAAAATCAACTTTCGCCGCTCGCATAGATCATTGACTTATTGCTTATACACTATCATGAAAATCAGCCCATATGCCATATTTGGCGCCAGATGCGGTGTAACTGTAGATGCTACATCACCTTTATGCACAGTGAAAAATCCAGCATTGAGGGAAAGGGGTGGGGGTCGCAGGAATGGGGGCGAAACACAAACATGCAGACCTTGAATTTAGGCCAGAGGAGTGACGTTACTGGATGATGATGAGAGTGTGCTGCTTGATGCAGAGTTTGCGGGCTGTCGATTGCTTCCTCGGCTGCCGCCAAGACATTTTAGTAGAAATGTGAGCATATAAGCAGATCATTGTGCTTCCTTTTTTTTCATTTTTGTGTCAAAGTGTCTCGCTTAAGGAAGTGATGTTTTTTTTTTATTGTTGTCAAATCGTACGTACGTGTTTTGACAACTGAGTGGGGAAAGGTCTACATGCTATGTTTAATGCATGTACTATAAAGTAAAACACCACACATTCTGTTTGAATTTCACTGTGTTTACAACCTTCTCTATTATTGTGAAATATAAATATTTTGGTGACAGAGCTCATTTTGACTAGCTAATTATAATACCAATTATATACATAAAAAAGTACATACGTTACTGATTAAATTATTGTAACATTATAAACAAAGTTCGTTTTAATAAATCAACCCTTCCCTACGAATACAACAAACGAAAGTCATTTGCAAAGATTTTTGTGAATCCACCCGTAGGCCTATGCGTTCTAATTTGTATTTGGTTTGCAATTGGGCGAATCCGTGACTGGGTGACAACCGACTGAATGAGAATCATGTCCCGAATGCTGATTTCGAGATGGTGTCATGAGAGGGCGCAATTCAAATTATGACTCGGCAATTTGGAATCAGGAAATATAATTGTGTTTATAAATCACGCCACCATAAAAAAATCGTCGCCCTCAAGTGGCCCCTACTGGAAATTCTGTATTTCTTTTTTTTTACGAGCGGCCTTTTTTTATGCACCTGTGACCCTTTTCAACGTGGTGCGAACGTCTTCAGCACGGATGCTACAGAATTCTCTTCGTAACCTCAAGCCTCCACCCCACCCCATGCCCCGACTGGTCCCTCTGTGGTGAGAACGCTGGCCTCCGCTGTCGAGATAAATAATATTGTATGTATGTTTGTTCTGTTCTCTCGAAATATGCAGCATTCACAGAGCTATAACTTCATCGGGTTTGTTATTAAGCATCCGTCTTTAAGGTTTTTTTTTTTTTAAATGTGCACATATTAAAAATGGTCAACTCAACCTATATATTTGTATACTAAATGGTTTCAAGAATATAAAAATCAATATTGCAATTGTAATTACCTTTTGGGGGTAAACAGGGATATCTGAATGCACAAAGGTTAGTTTAAAATACATAACACTGATTAGAAGCTACTGTATCAGATTCTTTCTTTGGCAATATGTTTGACGATGATTTATACAAGAAATCTTTTATAAACAAAGGTTAATCGGATAAACAGGTTAAATATAAACTATTTCTACACTTTTGTATAATATGGTTTTGAGAATATAATATAAAGCGTATACAACAATACATTAGCAGTTATAACGTTTTCGGGTATAAAGGGATATCTGGATACATACAGGGTTATATAAAATACATAACTCTAAATATATATACTCATATATGTTTATATAACATTGCTTTGTTTTGGAATATGTTTTGCAATGAGTTAAACAAGATATATGCACTTTTTAAAATTATAAACACAATTTGGATAATCAGGCTAAATATGACCTACGTTTACAAATTTGAATAATATGGTTTCAGAATATGAAACTCATAACAACTCATAATAACTGTTGGCGTATATAGGGATATCTGGATGCACATAGGGTTATATAAAATACATAACACAAAATATAAGCTACTGTATTATGCTTTCTTTTGGCAACATGTTTAAAACCACAATATCTGCAGATTTTTATATAAACAACAGTTTATTATTATTATTATTATGTGGTTTATTCATATAAAAACACGAGGTAGGCTGTCACAAAAGAGTCGCTGATATAACCACGTTTACACTTTACAAGAATTAAAACTTGTTACATAGCAGTTAAAAGGAGTAGAAGCATACAATTACAACAAAATATAGGATCATATATATACAGCACAAAACAGCACAATATAAAAAAAACTGATTTATAAACTTTAAAAAAAAATCTATATTGAAGACAGATCATTCAGGGAAGTTGGTCTAATAAAAAGTACTCACTTGCACTTACATTGTAAACAATTAAGAATTACAAACGTTTAGCAAAGACAGGAATAGTAGACTTCATGTATCTATCAGTTTTGCACTTAGGTACATGGTACATTTGGATCAACCACTATCTAAATATTTACTACCTTCAAAATGTGTATAATATGGGTTTGAGAATGTAAAACTCATTCGTAGTTATCTTCAAATGGTATACAGGGATATCGGGAATCACACTATTAAACATATCTGCTACTTGTCTATGTCTTTTGGCAATAGTTTATTTTTTCTTTTGGCGATGAATTAAACCATTCAACTTCATCTGCACATCATTACACTCAAGTCGTACCGGTTAAACCGACTGTAGAATTGCGTTTCCATAAATGAGTTCATACCTTTGTTTTAATTCGGGCGGCTCACACAATGCAATGTGCCACCACGAGTTTGCCACGGAGAGTTTATTTTTCCAGTGCATTGTGGGAGATGGTCTACACATTCGCAGCGCGGGACATTTGAAATTGTTTTTCTTTCCGGTGAGTAGTTTCGCAAGCGTATGATTCGATTATGTTTTTTGCCATTTTCTCTTCTTTTATGAATATGGTGGGGTTTTTTGTAAGGCAGTAGAACCATATGCCCCAATCTATAACAAATTATAAGGTCAAGTTGTCTACTAAAACTCATACTAAAACTCATTCAAATGGGCCATGTTTTGTCGACCGTTAACTTGAAAAAAATGGACTATCCATTACAAACTCTTCGTGGCGCAATACATTGTGAATCACCCGAATTGTATACAATTTATTTCACATGTTCAGACTAATAACTAAATTGGGATTGTTCACGTTGACTGAGCTGATTGAAATCGACGCAAAATGTCACCGACTTGGGGCGCACGTCAATCCTACAGATCTGGAGAACAAAACAATAGTTCGTTACAAAGATAAGGTGTGAAATGAAATGAGACATTTAGTTGATATCATAAGCCCTTTGTAAGTGGAAAAGTAATATTTTTTTCAATTGTTGTGCAATTCTAGTAGGCCTACGTTTTGATGAATTGCACATGCACACAAAAAAGACACAAGCAGATATATGGTCAAAATCTTCAAGGCTTAGTGCTTATGTGCGCGAATATGGAAAAGAAGTGAACTTAGAGTGAGAAAGGGTGACTGCCACATTGTGTACAAACTTTGGTTGAATTAGCCTATTTGTGATGTGGCCAACACATTAGGAGGGGGGCTATTTGCTTGGGTAAATACAAAAGACCATACCCAAATCAAACAGCGCCCCCCTGCATATTGTGTCCGCTAGGCCTACCTCTCAAATTATAGGGCAGTCCGGCGTACTGCACATCTACTTCCAATAGGATAAACATTTTTGTCTTACTATTATGTCTACTCGACAATCAGCGTTTCCTTTGAAAAAAATTAAGGGAGCAACCTACCTCAGGTTGTTCCAAATAGCATGCCTCACTGCCCGACGCAACATACGGTACACGGAATTCACTTCTTTGTATACTCTGTAAAAGGTATAGGGACATACAGTTCGAGTTAAAAACAACTTAGTGTGTACCCAGATACGGTCAACCCGAATGTAAAATGTGATCGAGCGCCTTCAACCCGTTTTAACGAGCAATAAACCATGATGGTGAAATGGGGCAAACATCAAAAGCGATTGAGCCTAGACTTTGATTCTGAGTGATGCATAGACTAATGGAGTTGATTATTGGTGGAATGTTCCGTCACGGTTTAAACTAAAAAAAAAAAAAATTCATTGACCCAATAGCTGACATGCGCATTTAGCATTATCCAATGTACTATTCATCGAGAGGTTTCTACTTAAGTCCAAAACAAACCTGTTGCTCGTAGGACGATTGGGACTGTGTGAGTTGGCTGGTCTGTCTAGTGTTCAGAAGTCTGGGTATGGTGCGCTGTCCATAAGGACCTGGACGTATGGAAAACACCAAATTCTTCTCGCGTGCACCCCACGGTTCTCTCCTCCTGCCTGCGTATATGCCATCAGCCTTGTACCTTTGTCTCCCTAGGCATGCGTACATACCAAACAGACCCAGGACTATAGCTGCACCTCCCATAATCACGATCCCGATAGTCCATAAAGGAGCTGGAAACAAAAATTAAACTAGACAATTGAAATTTGAAATAATAACTTTGCTTCTTCACGCCCCGAGTTTTGAGAGTCACCGTTTGGTAGCACTAAACAGGTAATCTCAACAACCAATGAAATAGTTTCCCTTCTGTAGGGGGGCAGAGGGAGGTGGAGGTGGGAGCTACGGCGGTAACAGTTAGACGGGTAGTAAATGATGGTGATGGAGATAAGACTACTACAGGAAGCAGGGGTGCTGATGGGCTTGGGATGAGGACGTAAAAGAGTCAGGAGGCGGTGTAATTCTGAGCTATCCCTTTAAATTTCCCTCCACTATGGGTTCTGCACCCGATTTCATGAAACTCTTCGTAACTTACGATGCGTCGCAGCGATGCGACGCGTCGTATCCCTACGATGCGTCGCAGCTGCGACGCGTCCTGCGATCCATTTCACAAAACACGTCGTAAGTGCGACGCGTCGTAGGTGTATTTATAGCACAACTCCGTGACTATTTTATGTATTTAGTCAGCGTACAGTAAATAGTCGTCTGATATTCAACAAAGAGTCGTCGGATCTCAGCTCGAAATTTGTTAAAACGTTTAACAAAATGGTGGCCGTGCGATGCAATTTTGAAGGAAAACAAGCTCTCAGTGGACTGTTTAGCTACTTTGAAATTTCGACTGCAACATTCCAGTCTAATTCATAATTATTCAATGAATTTTCTATTTACAACTTTACACACATTGCCTCGGTATTATAATCTCGTTTTTGTCACGTTTATGACATTAAACTGGCTAAGAAAGAGACTTTTCTTATTTTGCGATGACCACTAGACACGTCGTAACTTGCGACGTGTTTTAAGCCGTTGTCAAGGAACTTACGAAGCGTTCAACACATCGCAACTTTCGTGAAATGGAAGATACGACGCGTCGCGAGTTGCGACGTGTTACACGTCGTAACTTGAGTTGCGACGCGTTGCAGCGCTTCGTGAAATCGGGTACAGAGTTGGTAGATTTGAAGGACACAACCATGCGGTGGCGGAAGATGTCGGGAATCACCACCACGGTGGCGCCCCACTCATCCACCAACCGCAGTTTCTCCGAGAGCCACACTACACTTCAGACATGTGTTCCGTATGCTAGATAGTGATTATACACTCCTGGGTCTTGATGCTTTCCACACTCACTGTTATCTTTTGTTCTTAAAAAAGACGAGAAATATAAAATATAAAAGTAATGAAATAATGGAATGCAGACGGCGTTGGTATTACCTGTTGGGTTTCTCTTTTCAGGGTCATTAAGAGTCTCTGTGGTGACCTCTACCACAAGAAACTGGCATCGAGGCCCCGTAAACGAAGCACCACACCTGAAGGAAAACAACAGGTTGGTAAGAAATACGGTGAACACCTTTACAACTCCATTCACATGTTATTTAATTTATCATCTGGATTGATTCTATGGTAAAAAGTAGCAGCAATATCTTCAGAAAAGGAACAAATTCACAATACCTGCATGTGTATTCTAACAGCGGATAATATCCAGAGACATCACAGGTTCCTCCATTCAGACAGAAGTCAACTGCGCATGCCGTAGTTGAATCTTGTAAGAATAACATCATTAAGAACAAGAAGTGATATGTGACTAAGTTCACCAGATCTCGTATATTGATTGGACTTCTTTAAAGTCCTTTGAAACACAATGAAAAACAACTCCCCTTCAAACCTTACTGCAAAGGTCGTGATCTGGCATGACCTTGACACCTCTAGGGATAGGGAAGTACATGTGCCTTAAACCTGTATGATGTTAAAAGAAGATGGGCAAATTTAACCTGTCATACGGTTCCGCACATGTTTGAAGGGCTTTTTTAAGTTAAGATCACCAATTTCACCCCAGCTGGATAGACTAGGGGCTTCCGTGTTGCCTATCGGCAGGCCTACCATTTACAAGCCTACAACCGCTTAAACTTTTTAACAATCCATTATGGTATTCTGACATACAGCAAGTTACCTTTTGCTTTTACTACTGGGTCTACATTGAGTGTGGTCTGGCCATCGGATAGTACTTTCCCTGATTGGGAGTCATCCTCTAAAATCTTCATGATCATATCAGCGGTGATGGGTGACGTAGCTGGTACTAATACAACGCTGGTAACCAACACACTACCTGGCTGCAGATAGACACCAAGTACCTTGTCGATCACAGCAGTCAATGCATTCATTTTCAGGTGTCTCTCAATCTGAAAAGAAAGGCAACTTTTATTGGTTGTTGACTTATAAGTTATATCCTAATTCTACTTTATATCGTGAATGAACTGAAGTTTTTGTTTTACTATCAGATGAGGCTACTGTGCAAAAAACTTGACAAACTGGGTATAACACAAAATGAAGGACGTCAAAACTTATGAATGAACGTTTTGGAAGGGATGGCTGTCAACGGAAACCTTGCTTGGCGTCGAAAAAATGAAACGCATTTTTACAGTTTTCTCAAAAGGGTATATGTTCTGAGCTAAAATTTTGACGGATTAGGTTGATACATTTTTGCTTTTGCAAAATAGTGTCCATACATTTGAATAATAGGTAGTTTCAATTGGGTAGTACTATTAAAGACCTTACTTTCCTACCTTATCCTTTAATTGTTTCTATTGATGTCTTAAAAACAATAGGGTTCAACCCTGCCGGGTACTGAATTTTCTAAAGACCGATTAACAGTGTCCCATTGCCTCTATTGTTACTCTTTGTTCCTGGTACATACTTGTGCGTATAACGCAATCACTTACCGTAGCTGTTACAATTCCCAAAAACATCTTTGAAGCCGCTGACTGTGGGTTGCTGAATACAGACTGGAAGCTTACTGCAGTGCCATTCATGCCAAGAACACGTAGTATAGTTGTAATGGTTCTGGTATCTGAAATGATATCGACTCCGCATTTGAAATGGGTATCTCTCGCAGTTGCGTCTCATATGATTATTTGTTACATTTCAAAAAACTAAAAACCCAATCGATTCAATGTCCGAGGAATGACAGCCAGATGTCATACCAGGCACAATAAATATTAAACCTTGGAAAGTAGGTTGACCCGATTAGATGGGCTTTCGAATAAATTTGCCAACAGGAGTATTTGCACGAAAAGATACGTTAGAATCGTCAACAAATTTGCAAAAGGACTCAGACTCGAGTATGAGTCGGATTGCAAATATTTAAACATCCGAAGCACTTAGTCAAGTAAGAAATATTAACAGATAATTCTTAATCTTTGGGTCCATGAGATACAATTTAACTATATTGAAATATTTGTTCTTTAATATGCATTAATTAGTGTCGAAAGGGTGGATATAGTGGTTTTGATCCAAAAAGTACAATAAGCCGTTTCGCGGAAACCGCCGTCTTGCTTGAAAACGTGATTGCGCAATGGCTGGGGGCCTCACGTGACAAAGACTGAAAATCCGTAACGTTAAAGCATGGGAAGGTCAGAGCTTTTCTGAAAAAGCTCTCTTTTTTCAGTGAACAGAATACAATTTTGAGTACAGAGTTAAAAAGTCTGATCGATGGGACCCGAAGCTGTCCATGAGTGCAAAAGTATACCCCACATTCAAAAAATACCCCACATGCAATGACACCAAGCCGAAAAGTAGTCACGTGACCGCGCACGTTGCGGAAAATTGTGTATCGCACTAACGATACGGACACTCCTCGTGTATACCGCGCGTGTGTGCATAGAAAAATACGTGGGTTTTAGAATAATACACGAATGGAATGACTACGATTCAAAGCTTTTACTGCCATTTTTCCGAAACATTTCCGCTTCGGCCTGAATTTTTTAGCATTAAAAGTTAGTAAAAGTCGTGGTCCTTGCGTTCGTGTATCCAAGTTATTCAAACCCGAGATAGAATGTACTCACGAGCAGTACATGAGGAGTGTCCGGATCGTAAGAGCGACACCAAATTTTCCGCAACTTGTGCGGTCACGTGACACCTTTTTGCAATCAATTTTCCCTTTTCGGCTTGGTGTTGTTACACTAGTGTAGGGATTTTTTTTTAAATGTTGCACTCATGAACAGCTCAATGTCCCATTGATCAGTTTTTTTACAACTGTGTACACAAAATTGTGTTCTTTTCACTGAAAAATAGAGATTTTTCCGAACATCTATGACCTCCCTGTGCCTTTTACGTTGCGGATTTTCAGTCTGGGTCAAATGGGCCCCCGAGCAACTGCGAAATCACGATTTCAAGCAAGATGTCGGTAGACCTATCTGCGAAACGGCTTATGCAAAGAAATGTTCTTGGACATCTAAAAAAAAGTTACCTTATACATGTACTTATGTCAGTATACTGAATGACTCGGAAAAGGTCTCTAAGATACTGAAATATTCTAACGAATATCAACGAATATTTCAGTGTCATTGAGAAGTTTTCGAGTCACTAAATATAACAACAATTTTTTTGATAAATATTCTTTCGTAATAGTCAAAGCAGTGGATCGGGTAGTTAGTTAGAGGCATTGTAGTCTAGGGTTTATCGTGCATTGAATCATTAAGTCATACATAATTAAAGATTATTCTGAAAATGAATTTTTGCACTTGCACCATTCTGACAGTTTTCACTTACTTATGCAGAAGCCCTCAGTTCCATTGTTGATGTATTGGTCCAAGACACGGCATCCGCAGGTGTATCCGGCTGAATTGGCATATGGATCAGCTAAACAATACTGACCCTCACCGTTACATGGGGATGGTGTCACTATGCAGCGGTTAACCTCTGAGAGTGAAAAATTAATAGAAAACGTGTCCTGAACCCGTTCTGTCTTACAGCAGGAGGGAATTTTCAGATGACAATAACATCACAGTAAGTACCAAAACTACTTCCATGGCGCTTGAATTCACAGTGTATGCATTCGAACGCGAACATGGGTGCTCGACCAAAATACATGCTCAAACCCTCATTCTGATCACAATGTAGTCATTTAGATTCAAAGAGCGAGGAATCTCATTAAAGTTTAAAAAATAAATACAAAGTATATCCATAATGTTTGACCTGAAAGGTCGACGGCTAAAGTCTCAAGAATCTTGCTTCTCGTGTCAAACTTAACTTTAACGAATTTAACAGGTGCGCTTATTTAACCACGTACTGTGGTAGTTTGAGGGGGCTTTCCCTTAAAGGGAATATACAACATTTGCAAACATCGAAAAATAAAACTACCAAGTTTTTGCGAAATACCTTAATAGGATGTTGGTAAATGACAGTCTAAAGCATCCTGTAAAATTATGGCACCTGGTATACTGTCATTTTCAAGAAAAGTGGTATTTTTGTATCAATTTCCAACGCTGATCGGCCGATCAGCGTTGGAAACAACTGGCTTTTTTTTCAAATACTGGCCCCAATTGACCATTGCACTTGTTTGCAATCGATTACAAACCTATGAACGGGTACGAGCCAGCTAGACTGGTTCCCTGACCTTACAATTCCCCAATGTATGTAAACTGCTCTGTTTCTTCTTATATGGAGTCAGGGGACCAGACTACAGGAAAATGATCGTTTTTCTTGGTTTTTATAGCATTTTCGAACCCAAAACCTCCAAAAAGTCAGTGTAACTATATTTGCTTTATATTTCCAACCCCCCAATTCCATCCATTTCTGACAATTACAGCAAAAGCAAATGATGTATATTCCCTTTAAACTGATATCTCACCTGTACATGTGATCCCTGACACGCCTTGTGGGCAAACGCATTCACAGTTATCACCATCAAAAAAACCTCCACCCAAGCAACTAGCTGCAGTTAACGGACACACTGTGCACAAAATGTAATTATTGACCGTTATTTTTGTCATTAAAATTATAACATACTATTGGTTTTTGAACATTTTTTCTAACTGGAACAGCGCACATTCAATTTGTTTTGTAATTTATTTAATGAGAATAAATACGGTATATTATGGATGTGTATCTCTTTGCTACTTGAACCTATGAAGTTGCTTTGACCTTTTTCCAATTAATTTACCTGCACAGGTTTCTCCGCTCCAACTCTGTGGACAGTCACAGCTGCAGGATTCCAAGTCAATTGTTCCTGTATTCACACAGCTCAATGTACATCCTGAAAGCGATGAAACCGAGCAACTTTATTATTCAATTTGGTTTGGCACGTTTACATGCCTGCCTTAGTAAGAAAAAAATTGTAGACGAGGCTGGAACATGAAAAAAAACTATACTTGCTCCGGTATGCCAAGCAATTTTTCGAATTTCGTTATCAAAATTAAATGGTCTCAGTGCATTACGAAATTACCAACCTTGATTATTGGTGATTTGCACTTGTGAGGTGACATCATGTTCGGTTGTCTGTGCTGCCGTGGTATCAGTTGGGAGAGTATCACCAGTGTTGTTGAAAGATACTGTTGACGTGATTGCAACTCTTGTGTTTACTCCTGTCGCTGAGATACTGTCAGGTGACTCTGTGGTTGCTAAAGATGTCCCCAAATACGTTGTCACAGCACCGGTAACATGTGTCTCTGTGGTAGTGGGTTTTTCATTTTTCCCAGAGTTTGTTGTCATCAAATTATTCGTCAAACCATTGGTTGTTACCTCAGGTGTATTTCGTACTGTTGTGACATCCGATTTAGCTGTTTCCGTAGAAGTGCTGGTCATCCAAGCAGTGTCTGTTTTAATAGAACTGACCTCTGTTGAAGGAATATTGCTCGTAGTTTCTTTCGTTGTGTCATCTGAAAACGATGTCGTAGAAACAGTAGTTGGCTGACCTGGAGAGGATTTTACAGTCAAAGCTTCAGCCGTTGAGTACATATTTGTAGCGTCACCCGGTGCAGTTGTTCGACGAGGTGCGTCAGTTATCTCAGTTGTTGAAGCTACCGTTGTTAAATCCGGTGTATTCTCAACATCACTTGATGCATCAACGGTATTTAAGCCATTTGTTGTAGCCTCACTCGATAAGTGTGCTAACATGCTCGCGTGTAGAGAAGTTGCCTCAGAGAGGATAGTGGTCGCCAAAGGTGTAGTTGCACCCGTGGTACCATCGGTAGGGATAGGGGTAGTAGTGAAGGAGGTTGTCCTCGTGAAATCTCTGGAAATTACGTCAGGTAGATTTGTTGTCTCAACGGTTGTTGCATCAGATGCAGTAACGGCGGTTGGTATAGTTGTTGCCTGATAAGTGGCTTCCTTGACGGAAGTTACTTCGGTGGCAACGTTGGTAGTTAATGCGTCTGACGTTGTGATAATTTGTGTATTTGACCCCGGGAAGGTGATTGTTTCAACAGTATTTAAATCGGTAGTTGTAATTTCCATAGTTGTCAGATCTTGAGTCATGACAATCGAGTTAGTATTGGAAACAGCGACTGTCTCAACAGAGGTTTCAGCGGCCGTTTTAATTTCAGCAGTTGTGTCTATTGTTATTGCATGTTGCGTACCTGTCTCAGAAGTTGGAGTATAAAGTGAAGTATTTTCAACAATTGTTTGATCTATCATTGTGCTATCTGGTTTACTTGAGTTCGTAAAAGTGGCTACCTCATCAGCAGTCGTTTTTTCAAAAGCTTCAGTCCTTGTCGAACCTATTGTCGTATTTACAACATGCGTGCTTGTCTCCGAAACGCTTGTAATATCAAGGGTGGTTATTCCAACAGCTGATATAACATCAGAATTTGCTAAATCTATTGTGGTGAGGTCTGCTGTAGTTGCCTCCAAAGCAGTCGTTATAGAAGTTTCAATGCCGGTAACCTCATAAGTGGTTAAGGATACTAGAGCTGTAGCATCTTGTAGAGTTGTATCTACAACATTAGTAGTATCACCATTAAAGGTTGTGCCAGGAGTTGGTTGCATCTGGGTTGAATCTATTGTGGTGATGTCCGCTGCAGTTGCATCCAACACAGCGGTACGATGAGGTGTCACTTCGGTTCGTGTCAAGTCAACCATAACGGTATGATCTTGTGCAGTTGTTGCAATAGCAGTTATTTCACCAGAAACCGCTGTAAATGATGAATCTCCCATTGTACTATGCGAAGTACTTAATTCCGCAACAGTGCTCATTCCAAGATCAGTGTTTTCAATGGTTGATGTAACCCCAACAGTTATTGAATCTATTGTAGATGTAACCCCAACACTTGTTAAGGTAGTATTATCAGTTGAGTCTAATGAAGTGGTAACATCAGGTATGGTTGTTTTCCCAACATTAAATGTGTCAACAGCAGTCGTTCCAACAGTTAATTCAGCACTTGTTGCTTCTGCAGTAGTTTCCGCAATTATAACATTAGGACTTGTCAAGCTACTTATTGTTGCGGTATCTACTGCAATTGTTTCTACATCAGTGGTTGCTAAGGTACTAGACGTAACAACAGTTGCTGATTCTTTTGTTTCGGTGATATCCGTCGTACTTGTCTCGGGAAAAGTGGCCGTATCCACGGTTGTTGATTCTTTTGTTTCGGTGATATGCGTCGTACTTGTCTCGAAAAAAGTTGCTTTATCCACGGTTGTTGATTCTTTTGTTGTGGTGGTACCCGCTGCATTTGTATCGGGGATAGTGGTTGTGCAGGCAGTTGTTGATTCTTTTGTTGTGGTGATATCGGCTGTAGTTGTCATTTGAAAAGAGGTGACATCGACAGTCGTTGATTCCTTTGTTGTGGTCATATCCGCTGTACTTGTCGTGGGAAAAGTTGTGGCATCGACAGTTGTAGATTCTTTTGTTGTGGTGATATCCGCTGTACTTGTCGCGGGAAAAGAAGTTGTAACTGGAGTTATTGATTTTTTAAATGTGGTGGTATCTGTTGTAGTTGTATCGGGAATAGTGGATGTTTTGACAGTTGTTGATTCTTTTGTTGTGATATCCGCCTTACTTGTCATTTGAAAAGTGGTGGCATCGAGAAATGTTGATTCCTTTGTTGTGGTGATATCCGTTGTAGTTGTCTTGGGAAAAGTGGTTGTGTGGGCAGTTGTTGATTCTTTTGTTGTGGTGATATCCGATGTAGATGTCATTTGAAAAGAGGTGACATCGACAGTCGTTGATTCCTTTGTTTTGGTCATATCCACTGTACTTGTCATGGAAAAAGTGGTGGCATCGACAGTTGTAGATTCTTTTGTTGTGGTGATATCCGTTGTACTTGTATCGGGGAAAGTGGTTGTTTTGTCAGTTGTTGACTCCTTTGTTGTGGTCATATCGGCTGTATTTGTATCGGGAATAGTGGTTGTTTTGACAGTTGTTGATTCTTTTGTTGTTGTGATATCCACCGCACTTGTCCTTTGAAAAGAGGTGACATCGACAGTCGTTGATTCCTTTGTTGTGGTCATATCCGCTGTACTTGTCGTGGGAAAAGTGGTGGCATCGACACTTGTAGATTCTTTTGTTGTGGTGATATCCATTATACTTGTATCGGGGATAGTGGTTGTTTTTTCAGTTATTGATTCGTTTGTTGTGGTGATATCCGTTGTACTTGGCTCGGAAAAAGTTTGTGTATCCACAGTTGTTGATTCTTTTGTAGTGGTGATCTCCGTTGTACCTGTCTCGGGAAAAGTAGTTGTATCCACCGTTGTTAATTCTTTTGGTGTTGTGATATCCGCCGTACTTGTCGCCAGAAGAGTGGTTGTATCGGCAGTTGTTGCTTCTTTAAATGTGATGGTATTCGTTGTACTTGTATCGGGAGCAGTAGTTGTTTTGACAGTTGTTGGTTGTTTTGTTGAAATGATATCCGCTATAGTTGTCATTTGAAAAGAGGTTACATCGACAGTCGGTGATTGCCTTGTTGTGGTCATATCCGCTGTACTTGTCGTGGGAAAAGTGATGGCATCGACAGTTGTAGATTCCGTTGTTGTGGTGATATCCATTATACTTGTATCGGGGATAGTGGTTGTTTTTTCAGTTGTTGATTCCTTTGTTGTGGTCATATCCGCTGTACTTGTCGTGGGAAAAGTAGTGGCATCGACAGTTGTAGATTCTTTTATTGTGATATCCGCTGTACTTGTCATTTGAAAAGTTGTGGCATCGACAGTTGTTGATTCGTTTGTTGTGGTGATATCCGTTGTACTTGTCTCGGGAAAAGTAGTTGTATCCACAGTTGTTGATTCTTTTGGTGTTGTGATATCCGCCGTACTTGTCGCGAGAAGAGTGGTTGTATCGGCAGTTGTTGATTCTTTAGATGTGATGGTAATCGTTGTACTTGTATCGGGAACAGTGGTTGTTTTGACAGTTGTTGGTTGGTGTGTTGTGGTGATATCCGCTGTAGTTGTCATTTGAAAAGAGGTTACATCGACAGTGGGTGATTGCCGTGTTGTGGTCATATCGGCTGTACTTGTCGAGGGAAAAGTGGTGGCGTCGACAGTTGTAGATTCTATTGTTGTGATGGTGATATCCGCTGTACTTGTTTCGGGAAAAGTTTTTGTATCCACAGTTGTTGATTCTTTTGTTGTGGTGATATCCGTTGTACCTATCTCGGGAAAAGTAGTTGTATCCACAGTTGTTGATCCCTTTGTTGTGGTGATATCCGTTGTACTTGTTGCGGAAAAAGCGGTTGTATCCACAGTTGTTGATTCTTTTGGTGTTGTGATATCCGCCGTACTTGTCGCGAGAAAAGCGGTTGTATCGGCAGTTGTTGATTCTTTAAATGTGGTGGTATCCGTTGTACTTGTATCGGAGATAGTGGTAGTTTTGTCAGTTGTTGATTCCTTTGTTGTGGTCATATCCGCTGTACTTGTCGTGTGAAAAGTAGTGGCATCGACACTTGTAGATTCTTTTGTTGTGGTGATATCCGCTGTACTTGTCGCAGGAAAAGAAGTTGTAACTGCAGTTATTGATTCTTTACTTGTGGTGGTATCCGTTGTGATTGTATCGGGAACAGTGGTTGTTTTGACAGTTGTTGGTTCTTTTGTTTTGGTGATATCCGCTGTAGTTGTCATTTGAAAAGAGGTTACATCGACAGTCGTTGATTGCCTTGTTGTGGTCATATCCGCTGTACTTGTCGTGGGAAAAGTGGTGGCGTCGACAGTCGTTGATTCCTTTGTTGTGGTGGTATCCCTTGTACTTGTCTTGGGAAAAGTGGTTGTGTAGACAGTTGTTGATTCGCTTGTTGTGGTGATATCCGTTGTACTTGTCTCGGGAAAAGTAGTTGTATCCGCAGTTGTTGATCCCTTTGTTGTGGTGATATCCGTTGTACTTGTTGCGGGAAAAGCGGTTGTATCCACAGTTGTTGATTCTTTTGGTGTTGTGATATCCGCCGTACTTGTCGCGAGAAAAGCGGTTGTATCGGCAGTTGTTGATTCTTTAAATGTGGTGGTATCCGTTGTAATTGTATCGGGGATAGTGGTTGTTTTGTCCGTTGTTGATTCTTTTTTTGTGGTGATATCCGCTGTAGTTGTCATTTGAAAAGTAGTGGCATCGACACTTGTAGATTCTTTTGTTGTGGTCATATCCGCTGTACTTGTCGTGGGAAAAGTGGTGGCGTCGACAGTTGTAGATTCTTTTGTTGTGGTGATATCCGTTGAACTTGTCTCGGAAAAGGTTTTTGTATCCACACTTGTTGGTTCTTTTGTTGTGGTGATATCCGTTGTACCTGTCTCGGGAAAAGTAGTTGTATCCACAGTTGTTGATTCTTTTGGTGTTGTGATATCCGCTGTACTTGTCGCGAGAAGAGTGGTTGTATCGGCAGTAGTTGATTCTTTAGATGTGATGGTATTCGTTATACTTGTATCGGGAACAGTGGTTGTTTTGACAGTTGTTGGTTGGTGTGTTGTGGTGATATCCGCTGTAGTTGTCATTTGAAAAGAGGTTACATCGACAGTGGGTGATTGCCGTGTTGTGGTCGTATCCGCTGTACTTGTCGTGAGAAAAGTGGTGGCGTCGACAGTTGTTGATTCTTTTGTTGTGGTGATATCCGTTGTACCTATCTCGGGAAAAGTAGTTGTATCCACAGTTGTTGATCCCTTTGTTGTGGTGATATCCGTTGTACTTGTTGCGGGAAAAGCGGTTGTATCCATAGTTGTTGATTCTTTTGGTGTTGTGATATCCGCCGTACTTGTCGCGAGAAAAGCGGTTGTATCGGCAGTTGTTGATTCTTTAAATGTGGTGGTATCCGTTGTACTTGTATCGGAGATAGTGGTTGTTTTGTCAGTTGTTGATTCCTTTGTTGTGGTCATATCCACTGTACTTGTCGTGTGAAAAGTAGTGGCATCGACACTTGTAGATTCTTTTGTTGTGGTGATATCCGCTGTACTTGTCGCAGGAAAAGAAGTTGTAACTGCAGTTATTGATTCTTTACTTGTGGTGGTATCCGTTGTGATTGTATCGGGAACAGTGGTTGTTTCGACAGTTGTTGGTTCTTTTGTTTTGGTGATTTCCGCTGTAGTTGTCATTTGAAAAGAGGTTACATCGACAGTCGTTGATTGCCTTGTTGTGGTCATATCCGCTGTACTTGTCGTGGGAAAAGTGGTGGCGTCGACAGTCGTTGATTCCTTTGTTGTGGTGGTATCCCTTGTACTTGTCTTGGGAAAAGTGGTTGTGTAGACAGTTGTTGATTCGTTTGTTGTGGTGATATCCGTTGTACTTGTCTCGGGAAAAGTAGTTGTATCCGCAGTTGTTGATCCCTTTGTTGTTGTGATATCCGTTGTACTTGTTGCGGGAAAAGCGGTTGTATCCACAGTTGTTGATTCTTTTGGTGTTGTGATATCCGCCGTACTTGTCGCGAGAAAAGCGGTTGTATCGGAAGTTGTTGATTCTTTAAATGTGGTGGTATCCGTTGTAATTGTATCGGGGATAGTGGTTGTTTTGTCAGTTGTTGATTCTTTTTTTGTGGTGATATCCGCTGTAGTTGTCATTTGAAAAGAGGTGACATCGACAGTCGTTGGTTGCTTTGTTGTGGTCATATCGGCTGTACTTGACGTGGGAAAAGTGGTGGCGTCGACAGTTGTAGATTCTTTTGTTGTGGTGATATCCGCTGTACTTGTTTCGGGAAAAGATTTTGTATCCACAGTTGTTGATTCTTTTGTTGTGGTGATATCCGCTGTACTTGTCTCGGGAAAAGTAGCTGTATCCACAGTTGTTGATCCCTTTGTTGTGGTGATATCCGTTGTACTTGTTGCGCGGAAAGCGGTTGTATCCACAGTTGTTGATTCTTTTGGTGTTGTGATATCCGCCGTACTTGTCGCGAGAAGAGCGGTTGTATCGGCAGTTGTTGATTCTTTAAATGTGGTGGTATCCGTTGTAACTGTATCGGGGATAGTGGTTGTTTTGTCAGTTGTTGATTCTTTTTTTGTGGTGATATCCGCTGTAGTTGTCATTTGAAAAGAGGTGACATCGACAGTCGTTGATTGCTTTGTTGTGGTCATATCCGCTGTACTTGTCGAGGGAAAAGTGGTGGCGTCGACAGTTGTAGATTCTTTTGTTGTGGTGATATCCGCTGTACTTGTTGAGGGAAAAGTTTTTGTATCCACAGTTGTTGATTCTTTTGTTGTGGTGATAACCGTTGTACCTGTCTCGGGAAAAGTAGTCGTATCCACAGTTGTTGATCCCTTTGTTGTGGTGATATCCGTTGTACTTGTTGCGGGAAAAGCGGTTGTTGTTGATTCTTTTGTTGTGGTGATATCCGCTGTACTTGTTGAGGGAAAAGTTTTTGTATCCACAGTTGTTGATTCTTTTGTTGTGGTGATAACCGTTGTACCTGTCTCGGGAAAAGTAGTCGTATCCACAGTTGTTGATCCCTTTGTTGTGGTGATATCCGCCGTACTTGTCGCGAGAAGAGCGGTTGTATCGGCAGTTGTTGATTCTTTAAATGTGGTGGTATCCGTTGTACTTGTATCGGAGATAGTGGTTGTTTTGTCAGCTGTTGATTCCTTTGTTGTGGTCATATCCGCTGTACTTGTCGTGTGAAAAGTAGTGGCATCGACACTTGTAGATTCTTTTGTTGTGGTGATATCCGCTGTACTTGTCGCGGGAAAAGAAGTTGTAACTGCAGTTATTGATTCTTTACTTGTGGTGCTATCCGTTGTGCTTGTATCGGGAACAGTGGTTGTTTTGACAGTTGTTGGTTCTTTTGTTGTGGTGATATCCGCTGTAGTTGTCATTTGAAAAGAGGTTACATCGAGAGTCGTTGATTGCCTTGTTGTTGTCATATCCGCTGTACTTGTCGTGGGAAAAGTGGTGGCGTCGACAGTCGTTGATTCCTTTGTTGTGGTGGTATCCCTTGTACTTGTCTTGGGAAAAGTGGTTGTGTAGACAGTTGTTGATTCTTTTGTTGTGGTGATATCCGCTGTACTTGTTGCGGGAAAAGTAGTCGTACCCGCAGTTGTTGATTCTTTTGTTGTGGTAATATCCGTTGTACTTGTTGCGGGAAAAGCGATTGTATCCACAGTTGTTGATTGTTTTGGTGTTGTGGTATCCGCCGTACTTGTCGCGAGAAGAATGGTTGTATCGGAAGTTGTTGATTCTTTAATTGTGGTGGTATCCGTTGTAATTGTATCGGGGATAGTGGTTGTTTTGTCAGTTGTTGATTCTTTTGTCGTGGTGATATCCGCTGTAGTTGTCATTTGAAAAGAGGTGACATCGACAGTCGTTGATTGCTTTGTTGTGGTCATATCCGCTGTACATGTCGTGGGAAAAGTGATAGCGTCGACAGTTTTAGATTCTTTTGTTGTGGTCATATCCGCTGTACTTGTTGTGGGAAAAGTTTGTGTATGCACAGTTGTTGATTCTTTTGTGGTGGTGATATCCGTCGTACCTGTCTCGGAAAAAGTAGTTGTATCCACAGTTGTGGATCCCTTTGTTGTGGTGATATCCGCCGTACTTGTCGCGAGAAGAGTGGTTGTATCGGCAGTCGTTGATTCTTTAAATGTGGTGGCATCCGCTGTACTTGTATCGGGGAAAGTGGTTGTTTTGTCAGTTGTTGATTTCTTTGTTGTGGTCATATCCGCTGTACTTGTAGTGTGAAAAGTGGTGGCATCGACAGTTGTAGATTCTTTTGTTGTGGTGATATCCGCTGTACTTGTCGCAGGAAAAGAAGTTGTAACTGCAGTTACCGATTCTTTAACTGTGGTGGTATCCGTTGTACTTGTATCGGGAAAAGTGGTTGTTTTGACAGTTGTTGGTTCTTTTGTTGAGGTGATATTCGCTGTAGTTGTCATTTGAAAAGAGGTGACATCGACAGTCGTTGATTGCCTTGTTGTGGTCATATCCGCTATACTTGTCGTGAGAAAAGTGGTGGCGTCGACAGTTGTTGATTCCTTTGTTGTGGTGATATCCCTTGTACTTGTCTTGGGAAAAGTGGTTGTATCCACAGTTGTTGATTCTTTTGTTGTTGTGATATTCGTTGTACCTATCTCGGGAAAAGTAGTTGTTTCCACAGTTGTTGATTCTTTTGTTGTTGTGATATCCGTTGTACTTGTCGCGGGAAAAGCGGTTGTATCCACAGTTGTTGATTCTATAATTGTGGTGGTATCCGTTGTACTTGTTGCGGGAAAAGTAGTGGTATCCGTAGTTGTTGATTCTTTAATTGTGATGATATCCGTTGTCCTTGTCGCTGGAAAAGAGGTTGTATCAACAGTTATTGATTCTATAATTGTGGTTGTATCTGTTGTACTTGTTGCGGGAAAAGTAGTCGTATCTGCAGTTTTTGATTCTTTTATTGTGGTGATATATTCTGTACTTGTCGCAGGAAAACTTGTTGTATTGGCAGTTGTTGATTCTTTAATTGTGGTGGTATCCGTTGTACTTGTATCGTGGATAGTGGTTGTTTGGACAGTTGTTGATTCCTTTGTTGTGGTGATATCCGCTGTGCTTCTCTCGGGATAAGTTGTTGTATCCACAGTTGTTGAATCTTTTGTCGTGGTGATATCCGCTGTACTTGTCTTTGGAAAAGTGGTTGTGTAGGCATTTGTTGATTCTTTTGTTGAGGTGACATCCGCTGTACTTGTTGTGGGAGAAGTGGTGGCGTCGACAGTTGTAGATTCTTTTGTTGTGGTGATATCCGTTGTACTTGTCTCGAGAAAAGTAGTTGTATCCACAGTTGCTGATTCTTTTGTTGTGGTGATACCTGCTGTACTTGTTGCGGGAAAATTGGTTGTGTCCACAGTTGTTGTTTCGTTCGTTGAGTTGATGTCCGCTGTACTTGTCTTAGGAAAAATGGTTGCATCGACAGTTGTTGATTCTTTTGGTGTTGTGATATCCGCCGTACTTGTCGCGGGAAAAGTGGTTATGTCCACAGTTGTTGCTTCTTTAATTGTGGTGGTTTCCGCTGTAGTGGTCTTGGGAAAAGTGGTCGTTTTGACAGTTGTTAGTTCATTCGTTGTGGTGATATCCGCTGTACTTTTCTCTGGAAAAGTGGTGACAGTGACAGTTGCTGGTTCTTTAGTTGTAGTGACGATCGCAGTACTCGTCTTGGGAAAAGTGGTTTTATCCACAGTTGTTGATTCTTTCGTTGAGGTGATATCCGCTGTACTTGTCTTGGGAAAAGTGGTGGCATCGACAGTTGTTGATTCTTTGGTTGTGGTTGTATCCGCTGTACTTGTCTGGGGAAAAATTGTTAATTTCGTAGTTAATGATTTCATTGTTGTGAGGAGATCTGGTGTGCTAGTTTCGAGATAAGTCGTCGTATCAATTGAGGTAATGTCCACAATTGTTGGATTTTAACGACTTGTTATTATTGTGACGTCAAGTGTGATTGTGTTTTTGGCAGTGGTTGTCTCTTAAGCAGTCGTATCTTTAGTTACCTCGGTAGTTCTTGGGTCAACTTTAGTGGTGACGTAAGTTGTAGTTGTTTCTGCAGCAGTCGTGGCTGGGATTTCGGTAATGACATCAGTTGTTATCCTTAGTGTCGTTGGAGCAGCTGTAGTAGTACCCTCTAGGATTATAAAAACACAAATACAAATGTGTACACAACAAAAACGAAATTTCTCGACATTTAAACCCTGAGCTGATTATATTACCCGTTTTCTTTTGAAAAGGAACTTGGTTTTACAACAGAGCCTTGAATATACTCACCAAATTGTTCAATCATGACCTCCGCAATGTGAAGAAACTCCGTTTTGCCTGTGAAAGCCACACTTACATATCGCGTGATTATAACCGTGTTGGACACAAAGTGAATGGCTTCTCCGCTTTCGGCTTGAGCAAGAGTGACTGGAGAACCAACGGCAGTATTTTGCAAGTGATTGGAATTTAATCCAGCTCGAACTACCGCACCTTCTAACAGCTGATCTATGATTATGAAAAAAATATGCAAATTCTTTGAGACGTAAATTTACGGAAAAAAAATCTTTGCATGAAAATCATACAATTATATACAAATAAGTAACTCTTAATGAAATTTATGGATGACTATTCATTCTATTTAGTGTATTACAACCCAACAGAAGATGTGAGCTGTACATGGCACATACACATTTGATCACAGGCAACAAAGCAGAGAGCTAAATCCCGTTTAGTACGTGGTAACATAACCTTGAAAATGCAAATCATAAGTACAATTGAAACAATCACTGACGCCTGTACAACCTAGCCGTGCGTGCAGGGAGACATGTGAAACTTAGTGATAGTAGGGCCAGCAACAAGACAGCAGCCATTTTCTGCTTGGCAGATTCAAATTTTCTTCGCTGCCGCCCCACCGTCCACTCACAAAAGCTATACATATTCATCATCACCCGGGGATAGGAGTTCTTTTAGGAGTAAATTTATATAAGAAGAAGCAAAGTAGAGAGGTAAACGATAAGAACGATTAAAGTTTATGAGTTAAGTTGCAATGAGTATGCGATGAAAAGAAGATCAAAGTGAATGACAGATAAAAGTTAACTAAAATATTATGACTAAAGTTGACGACAATAATTACTTGAATTAAAATGTATGGGTAGTTGACAAAGCATAACGTCAACAGGTCTTTAACCAAATAAAATTGTCATCTGATATTTTCTAACTATCGAGATGATAGTAAACAAAATACACTTGACCAAGCAACAATGGTCAATAATCTTATCAATCAGATTAAATTATGTATTTATTCTATGTATTAAAAACGCTTAAGCAAAAGATGTGATAAGTTTAATTTTTTTAATATAGTAGAAGTTATATTTAAGAATTATGAAAAGAACGCCTTATCCGCACAAAGCATGCAGTAATTCAAAATTACTTATTTAGTGAATAAATTACCAGTACAGACATAAAGAGTAAACAAAAGTCGTCATAATCCCATGATATAGTTGCAATATGCACGACACTAGGTGTTATTTCAGGTATAATGTTGGGTGGAAAAGATTATGATTAAAGAAGGGATTTTGGTCACATTTTACTTATTCTTACCAGCGTGACTTAGAAGGACATTAAGGACAGATATTTCTCTCAGGCAGTAGGCAGCTCCGAGGTCAACTTTCCACCACGCATCTGCGTCAGGGTCTAAAATTTGCGGTGAAGAAAATGTATATTCACATCCATCAGTGGTGATAGCGGTTATACTTTGTGATGCCATGCCTATATGAAATATACTATGTCGTCACCGACATAACGAAGTAACACTCCACCGTGTTAAACCAATTTTTTTCGATTTTTTTTCAGTTTTTTGGATTTACATTATTCATTAAGGCCTACCATAGCACGAAATTTCAAAGCTTCAAGAGCTTTATTTAAAAATTACACTAATTATCAATGGCAAGTTTTGCGCAAAAGTGACAATTTTCGTTTTCAAGAAGTAACACCCAAGTTCCTTTTACCATTGCAATGCATGGCGTGCACTCTGCTCAAATGTGAGCAAAAACGTTTTCACGAAGTAACACTCTCCTTGTATGAGCGCGCGCGCGCTGACCTGAAGTTGCACTTTCCTCGTGTTGCAAAGAGTGTTACTTCGTGAAAACGAAAATTGACAGTTTCGCTGCTTTTTTCGGTTTCACGAACTAACACTCAAATTTGTTCTCTTATTTTTTGTTGATTAAATACACAAACCGGTGGAAAACAGCAGATTTAATCATTTCAATTCATCACGTGTCCACAACGAGAAACCCAACTAAAAATACTTTGCCGTTTTGACGCAAAGTGTTGTTTTAGAAGGCGTTCAACTTTAGATGCCGTTTTCTCCGATTGCTAGTTTGTACTGGTATGTACATGGGTGTTACTTCGTGGTGTTGCTGACGATATGTCGTTTTAAATATATCTTGGCAACTTGGCAATAATGTCAGTCCACACAAAGAGAGACTTGTGGTAAGATCAAGATGTAAATAGTCTTAACGGGTCAGATGCTTGCTGCAGTATCTATGGAAGTGTTCAAAAACTAACCTGTGTGTGAGTAGGTTGACGTTTGTCCGTCGATAGCCCGTGACGCAGGTAAGCCACCGCGAGTAGAACTCTGGGAGGCAGTTTTACTCGTCAAGTCGAGGTCTGAAGCTGTGATAAATATTAAATCATTATGTAATGTCAATGCTGGATTAAATCATAGGAGACAAAACATGTAATATCCGTCGTGCTCTTCAACAATTCGAAAATTTCTACTTACAAATTTTTCTGTAGTGTTTTGTATAAAGTAACCCAATCCGTACCCGGGGATGTGCAACTTCTTGTACTTAATCTGGAACACTACAAAAATCAAGTCTAGTTCAATGAAAAAAATGCTTGGGTTAATTTTACCTAAGGCGAGCCATCAGATAACAGACCGTTCGGGTACCGGGTCCGGTATGCTAATTTCTTTCACCCCAATCGGTACGAAGCCAGAAGCCACCCGGTCACTGAAGCGTGACGCCCCAATCGGTCCAAACTGGTGACTCAGGGTTTGATAATAGGCAACATAAATTGAAGTCTGGCCATTGTTGGAGGATTATTCGGCCCGCTGGGATTACCAGCGGCAACTTCTATGAAGCTCATCACAGTCATTATTGCCTACTGGAGGATTAGCGCGTCGCAAATTGGTTCCTTTGTGATGAGCCAGAGCCATGGTGCAGAAGCCTGGTGGAGTTAATCCAGGCCGATCGGTTCCATGCAAGGTCCCAATCCCTTCAACATACTGGGCGGGCTCAACCCCGAACGGTCTGGGGAGGGATTCTAATTTGAGGGCTCGCCTAAGCAAGGGTGAAAATTGCAACTTCCTCAAATTGGGTTGTGTTTTTCCCTATTGTTTGGGTAATAATTTCTGTTCAGTTCACACCACTTGTGGTTATGCCAGACTAAATTTAATTCGGTCCCGATTGGCATGATATTTATGAACAACATTCACCGACGATTGAACCAAGGCTCTCGAAGGGTCCAACTGATTTGCATTAAAATAGTGGCCGCATGAGGTCGCTGTATTTTTACATGCACTGCATAGCGCGCGAGGATATGCCGCCGATTGATTACCGCGATTGATTACTGGTTAGCCTACTTACCCATGCTTTTTGGTGTAAGTCGTAGTGTTACCCAATAATGTCAAATAGGTTATGGGCCAATCATTGTAATAAGAAATCAGCCACAAAATATAAAAATTGCAATTGTGGGCACAGTGAGTAAGCCCCTCATGCCTCTAAAAGGATGAGTTTGCAGTGGCTCCACATTTGAATTTATTTTCTTTCACCAAGTATGTGAGAAGTTAACTCATTTATGAAAGGTAGGCACAAGTTTCGATGGTGGGCAAATGATTAGTAGCATCCCCATTTTTTTCTCATGAATGCCAATGTTGGTGGAAAGTTTCATTTTTCTATGAATGTGGGAACAATTTTTCCATGGTGGGCATAATGAAAACCCTGCCCCCTTTTTTTCGAAAATCGTTGTCATGCCCCTAAAAGGGTGTGTTCGAGATGGCTCCATATCAGGATTTTTTTTCTGTTCAACAGAAATTATGCCCAAATAAAACTGTTGTCTCTAAAAAGGGGAAAACAAAAGTAAAGCGCCCTCTTGTGGTCGCTGCAGCGCAACCAACATTCCTGCCAAATGTTAGAACAATCGGCCCAAGAATCCCGGTCCTGAGAAAACTCAAAATACCCCGGTCCGTAAAAGTTAACGAAAACACGTGTTCCTAGTTTGAACGTCTGCAACCCATTTAATAAGGGCTTCCATTTAGGAATGATTTTGCGCACAAAATCATCCGCCCTCCAAGTAGACTGGTTCCCGTTCCCTGCATGTTGAAAATTATTTTCAGTTTCAAAGTCAGCACCAACCTTGGCCAAAAACCGTGATGTCAAACTGGCATGAACCCTCGTTCCCAGCAGTATCGGTTACACTACATGTCACTGTTGTGGTTCCCAATGCATAAGTGCCACCTGACACCACTACATTGCTTCCACCATTCTGACATGTGATGTCGCTGGATGTGAAGACATCAACATCATCAGTGGCTGATGGCATTGGTGACCACGACACGATGGCAGTTGTCGATCCACTCTGCGTACACGAAGTGACATCACTAGGACACGTTACCGTCGGCGCTTCTGTATCACTATCAGCTTAAAGCAATTAAAGACATTTATACTTTTAATTATTTGTGGTAACACGAGGAGAGTAGTTGTGCCAATTATCTTATAGTTTCACCTAAATACATGACTGCAAAAAGGGTGTTTTTTTTCATAATAAGAATTTACCATCCATTATCGACTCAAGCTGAATCTTCTATTTTGGCGTCGTCAAGTTTTTGGTTCAGGTTTAGTTTCTTTAGTCCAGATGACTACAGAATGCGTAAACGTCAACACAAGTTGCTAGCTATCAATGTCTGGTATAGCATTAACTGACATTTTCAGAGGTGTGTCGTAATTGATGATGATGATGTTGATGTATACTTGGTGCGCAGCGTATACGTGCATGTATACTTGTCAGTGTAGTCAGACAAGGCCTAGATTATCCAAATTAAAATCGAAGTCAAGAGAATGCCTGTCAAGTATGAAAATATGTCCAAGAAGGCAACCGATTGGGGGAAAGCCACCTAAAGAGCCAAGTCTGACACAACAAAAAATGATGTAGTTGCTAACTAGTGACTTGAGTTGCCCTTGATCAACACTAACTTTAGTAACGAACTTAGAATTTAACTAACGCTAGTGATGTTTCATGGATACCAATTAGTTACCAACTAGGCTATAGTAAACAACTACATGCCTTTTTAGTAACTAACTAGGCTTAATAAGGTTTCATTAATATGGCCCCAGGACGTTATTTCCAGTTTCCGTACCCGAATACCATTTGCCTGTTACAACAGAAGCACAAACCAAATTGTTCGATCATATCCTCAGAAATGTAAAAAAAAAATCCGTTTGGCCTTTGAGATCCACCTTTACAGAGCCTTTATAGAGCAATTACAGAGTCTTAACTCTAAAGGGGCAGTTGGCGCCCCCCCCCCCTGCAGTTTTGCCGCGATTGCTTTGAAAAATGTTTTTCGCAACCCGAACTGTTATGACTTTTTAGCCTCGAGCCTTGCGCATCTTTGATACCAAAAACATGAATATCGGACAACGAGTTGCCGCGCAGGGAAAATTTTCCGGCGCTACAGGGAGTGAAAACTCAATTTCCCGATATGCGTAGTGTACACAGAGCAGAATTTCGTGCGTAGAGCAACCATTCGTGCAAATGAATAATTAATTAGCTTAATTCCAAAATCCTTTCACCTATGGTCATAACATTTCTGCGGTATGCTTATGATAAGTTGTTCTATGCATGTAACCAGTTTCATAATTTTTCGTCGCTCTATGGCCGAGATTTTAGCCCGGCTGAGAGATGATCAAAATACTGCCCGGCCTTTTTAAGGTTGAAGTGCGCCATTTTGTCTTTGAGCTTCCAGACCCCTCCGCGAACTTTCTATTGGGATTTGTTCACGGGGTTGCTCTTTCTCTTGCTATAATTTGTAACAGAATGACCGTACTGACCGTACTTACCCCCGGGAAACACTCGTGTTGAAATTTTATCTCGGCACCCACAAGAATGATGACAAATCAGTTGCAGCTTGGTAAAAACGAATTTTCCTTACAAACTTTACAGCTAAATTGTCGTACCTATATATAGATACGGTATCTTTGTTCGATCGCGTTTGTATTCACATTACCGCCTGGCGTGAGTACAAAAATGAAAACGATGCAAACAGGTAGGGCCTACACCTACATGCGATGGATTCTAGATTTATTTTTGCTTGTTTGATCGTGCTTATAACAGTAATTTGAGATTTGTTTGGAAATGAACCTTACTCTCTCAGGTTTATTAAAAATAATAAAAATAATACTGCCGCACAATTTGTTCATAAAATAATTCTTTGTACGAGTGCTCCATCCTCAACTAGTCCACTTTTTAAAAGTTTTTTGGAAATGAGAGGTCAATATTTAGTACGATATTTCTCTTTCACCTCATGCGATTTTTTAGTTTCCATTAATTCAGATTCTAGTAACAATTTTACAAAGACCTTTACCAGGGTGATTTTCTTAAGAAATCAAATGTTACAAAATTTCAATTCAAAACTATTCTAGGGGTTTGGAAGAGCACCTTTTGGAGTGGTCACCTTTCAGGCTCTATCACTGAGTTCGGTACAAAGTGAGGGGTTTATCCCCCCTGTATCCTGGAGATTCGATTTTGCAAGGGGTCTGAATTTAAACCAGCTCAACCAACCGCACCTTCTAGCCGCTGATCTATATCTACGATTGAGAACCAAAAAAACGCAATTTGTTTGCAACATAGAAAAGTTACCAGTCTCACCTGAGGAGGTGACGTCAGTTGTAGTTGTTTCTGCTGCTGTGGTTGTCTCGGTAGTACCCTCTAAGATAATAAAACGCATGTATATAAATGTTTACAAGACAAAGTAAAACAAATAAACAAGCTTCGTGTTTAAACCCACACATTTCTGCCTTATGTTGGTTTTCTTTTTAAACATAACCTTTTACAACAGAATCTTGTATACTCACCGAATTGTTCAATCATCACCTCCGCAATGTGAAGAAACTCCGATTTGCCTGTGAAAGCCACACTTACATATCGCGTGATTATAACCGTGTTGGACACAAAGTGAATGGCTTCTCCGCTTTCAGCTTGGGCAAGAGTGACTGGAGATCCGACGGCAGTATTTTGCAAGTGATTGGAATTTAATCCAGCTCGAACTACCGCACCTTCCAACACTTGATCTATGATAAAAATAAAAATACTCAAATTCTTTGCCACATCAATTTCCAAAAAAAATCTGCGCATGTAAAATATACAATTATAGAGTAAACAAAAGTCGTCGAAGCTCCATGATAATAGTTGCAGTATATTTTGCACGAAGCTAGCAAATATTTCACATGTAAATGTTGGGTGGAAACGGTTATGATTCAAGAAGGGATTTTGGGTCACATTTTACTTATTCTTACCAGCGTGATCTAGAAGGACATTAATGACAGATATTTCTCTCAGGCAGTAGGCAGCTCCGAGGTCAACTTTCCACCACGCATCTGCGTCAGGGTCTAAAATTTGCGGTCGAGAAAATTAATGTTCACGTAAAAAAATAAGTCAACGAGTGGTGATAGTGGTTAAACTTTGTGATACCTTCCCTGAATTGCACTATAATTATGTCTTATTATATCTCGACAACTTAACAGTAATGTTAGTCCACACAAAGAGAAACGTTTGGTAAGATGGTAATATTCTTAACATGTAATTCACTTATTGCAGTATCTATGGATGTGCTCAAAAACCAACCTGTGTGTGAATAGGTTGACGTTTGTCCATCGATAGCCCGTGACGCAGGTAATCCACCGCGAGTAGAACTCTGGGAGGCAGTTTTACTCGTCAAGTCCAGGTCTGAAGCTGTGATAAATATTAAATCATTCTGCAATGTCAATGTTGGATTAAAGCATAGGAGACAAGTAATGTCCGTCGTGCTCTTCAACAATTCGAAATGTTCTACTTGCACACTCTTCAAATTAACCCAACCAGGAGCCGGAGATTTGATACTTTTTGTAGTAAATCTTGCTTATAATTCCAGAATCAATAGTAGAGTCATTCTTATCGTAAGAGCTGGAATGTAGCCGAGTAGCCTACATTCCAGTCGTCCACGGGCAGTACCGCTACAATAATATATATTTTTGATGTTTTCCTTTTTTCCTTTTTTTACTTTATCTCTTTTGGGCGATCCTTCGGGTGCTGTTAGGTTCTTGTTACTTTTTGTTGTAAGTAAACGTAAATGTAAATGTAAATTATTTTGCGCACAAAATCATCCGCCCTCCAAGTTGACTGGTTCCCGTTCCCTACATGTTTAAATTTGTCTTCAGTTTCAAAGTCAGCACCAACCTTGGCCCAAAACCGTGATGTCAAATTGGCATGAACCCTCGTTCCCAGAAGAATCGGTGACACTACATGTCACTGTTGTGGTGCCCAATGCATAAGTGCCACCTGACACCACTCCATTGCCTCCACCATCCTGACATGTGATGTCGCTGGATGCGAAGACATCAACATCATCGGTGGCTGATGGCATTGGTGACCACGACACGATGGCAATTGTCGATCCACTCTGAGTACATGACGTGACATCACTAGGACAGGTGACCGTCGGTGCCTGGCCGTGCACACCTACGTAAAAAAAAAACACCAGCGATTAGCTTCCGGTTTTTTGGTCATTTGATTATCATGTAGCAAAGCTCTTAGATACCTGACGTTGGTTTCCCGTGTGATATCCAGGGGGACATGAAGTAGGGACAAGGGGGATTTCAAACTGCAGCTGTTCTAAAAATGATAGACCTAATTAGTTAAGTTGTACGTCCCCTCCTTCACGTCCTAGTTCATCGATTGAGAATTAAGCAAACTTCAGTCAAATTGATACATTTTTAAATGAATTTGGTTCGGGCCATTATCCGCGTTCAACTGAGTCAAATTACATGGCGCTGCTAAGCACACGATTTTTGCCAACAGAGCCACCTTCTGTTTTAAGGAGCCAGTGTGCAGAAAGCGCAGCAAAATACATGCTTACCTCACAGGAAAAACGTTGCTTAACTGTCGACGTAACAATATAGATCGCCATGCGCGTGCAACCGTTAGCACATCGCCACGAATATCCTTATGAAATATCCTCATTTGGAGATTGGCGCGCTCGTGGCACATACTGCAATGTTGCGCAGAATGCAGCGGTTCCGGTGTAGCGTGAATTTAGGACTATATGAAACACGGACACGATGGTAGCGTAACAAAAGTGTTTGCTAGGGTGAGCTGCGCGCAGCAACAGTAACGTTAGAGCGGCCTGACGATTTTTTTTTATGTCAGTGGTATACCTTGTAGGACATTTGGCGCCCTGCGTGCGCGCGTACTCTTAGTTTAGTCAGACAAGAAAGGCATGGGCTTCATTCAGGTAGGATTCAGCTCAGTATATAGGCCTACAGTGGACTAGCATCTTTTTCGTATTAAAGTGAATGTTTTGTACGAGTTCGAGTTTAGTACATAGGCAGAGAGTACCAGGACAATATTTCCAGTTGAGGTATCCCGTAATCATTTAGTTACCTCTGGTCCTACCAATAAGTTATTCTGTTAAATGATCAAGTCTTTGCTGCCTTCATGCTACCGCATCATGATAGGATACGTTAAACGGACAGACAGGGTTCTCAACAGTGTCATCCACAAGACAATCAAACCCAAACCACTTATCAACGAGGTGCACCGGGAGGCAATTGAACTTCTTAGACCACATCTTGCTCATGAACCAGACAGAGCATGCACACAAACATGCTTTATACACGACCAAGGAGGGAAAGAGACGACCAGGACGACAACGCACCTTCTTTAATACATTTACAAAAATAATTGGCTTACGTAACTGCGCCGCGCAATTTTGTGGACGGTATCCGGTCCGTCCGCGCCCGTTTGCCGCGGAGGGTGCAGTATGCAGAGCCCGTCTAATTTGTTGGCCCAGTGGTCCGCACCATTTTGTGGACGATGTCCCGTCTGCCCGTCGCCGTTCGCCGTGGAGAGCGAAACGTACAGGTTGGAGCCTGTCCATTTGGCTGTCTAACTGTCTTTACCTCTTGCCGCGTCGATTTCCCATCGGCCTTTTGCCGTGAAAAAAAAATGCGTTTGTGCTTGGAATGAGGGTATTGCTGACAGAGAGTAGAGGGAATTGATATTTTTTTAAATGTTATCGCAATCATATAATTATTTTTGTGTGCTGCGTGACGTAACCTTTCTGCAGCTGCTGATCGGGTGGCACTTTTTTCTCTCCTGAACAAGTCGATTGTCTTCTCGAATTTCTATGTGCATACATACACACCGTCGATCGTGGACGTCCAGTTGTCCCTTTTTTGTTTGTATTTTTTTTTAGACTCCCATAGGTTTTGTACACGACCCCAATTGCGGACGTATGCTGGAAATCGTGGAGGATATTGTTCTCTTTTGTTCTCTGGTATTTTTCGTCCACGGTTTGAATAGATGAACACGCCCACGCACCCATCTGAAAGGAGAACTGTCAAGCTACACGCCGATATGACTATAGAGTTCACTGTTAATATGGGTCTGTATGATACAGCGTAACAAAATACAGCACCAATTTTGGGGCGGTTTCGGGTGCAACAGTAAGTAATAGGCCGGGCATTTTTCGGGCACAACAGGGACTAATACAGTCAGCAACTCCTACAAACCGCCAAAATGAAAGCCGGGTAACCAACCGCATGGTACAATATAATCCTCACAGCCTTGACTGCTAATGCATTAACCCTCACACAAGTCAAGCGTCCAAACTTTATCCTGTGTTCTTGGAATAGCTTAACAAGTTATAATAACCGTCACATGGTACAGTATGTACCTCAACCCAGCTCAGCCCAATACCAGCAAAGCTTAAGGTATACCTCACAGGTTCTACTATTAACCCTCACTATCGGTAAGGCCTGTTTCAGACGTCGTGCTTATGCCGTGTCGAATACAATTGAATTTAGCGCGACGTTAGCACGGTGTAAGCACGGCAGTGGTTTCAAACGTCGAACTTACTTACAAATGCCTAGTCGAATTTAAATAAATCCAACATGGCGGACCAACAGTCTCAGTCAAAAACGTCATTTTGTGATCTTAATCAATTAGATTAGAGTTGCACGAAGAAAACGAATTTTGATTCAGCGGGTACTCCTTAATCAAGTACTTTTCCCGGATGAAAGCTATGGTGTGCCATTTTCTTTTCAATTTTTGGTGGGTTGACCATTGACTTTTCGAGAAATTCTAACCTAAAGAAGACGTCCTAAACCACAACATTGCAAAATAGCGCCAGTTTCGAGTCCAAAATGCTAAGAATTGGAAGCCCCAAGTCTGGGCCAGAGGTTCATTGCCCTGCAGGTTGCACTATAATCTAGACCCAATCTAAATGACCCGCTACTTTACTTACTGACCGCTCGACCGCACTGCACTTCCATCGGGTCTTTCGTAACCCGTTTCGTAACGGCATCCAAATTGACTGATCAACACTGACCAAAAATCCGTCACGGTTTCTAAAGTTGACTCATATTGGCTGCCGCGCGGGTCGCATAATTCTGCATGCTACGATATATCAGACGTTTGGACAGTGGCTCTGCACATGTGGTTCTCAGACTACCCCTTAAATGCAGTTTTGTAGGGACAAAACTTATTCAAATTTCGCGCTTTTACCATGCTAACTCTCATCGGCTAACTCTCATCGGACTAAAGACATTATTATATCACAATTTGACGTAATTTGCACCATGCAAGCAGCACCACTTAAACACCCAGGTTGGCTGCATGACATTGCTCCGTTGGCATCGTGATATATTAACAGTTTACGATAAAATTAATCATGGTTTTTCGGTAGAAGGACTAGAATTTTTACATAGTTTTGGTTCGTACTGTGTTGATATTACATACTGCATGACCAATCAACTGTTATTTCGCCCTCTATTGATATTAGGGGGTCTCACATGGCTGCCAATGTTCACGGTAGTCGCACAGTTTGTGTGATAGCAAATAAACCAATATCACTGCTAAGTCCCTGCCATCCTGTCTTTTAACAAACAACACAGTTGCTACCACAAATAAGCATCTATGTGTACCTAGCAACGCACATTCTTCCAAGTTCCAAATCGGCAAAATTATGGAATGCGTTTTTGGGTGTTTTGGTCGGGTATAACATAAAATTCATATAAAACGATGTTGGAGCAGAACAAAAATGTGCCTTACATTGTTTTAGAGTGGCGAGATTTGGGCGAAGAGAATACTGAATTGAAATAGCCAAAAGACATACGGAGTTTTTCAGCTGGAACAGCCGCCGGGAACCGTGCCTGAACAAGAGCGACCTCATTTTGGCCTTCCTTAACTTTAGGCATATATATGCAGAATGACCTTGCCGCATTTGCATTAAAACGTATCGTTCGTCTGTCGGGCGGGAAACCATCATCTATCTGGGTCTAATAATAATCTGGGTGATTTACATATTCCTGTGTAAAACATCACTTTGTTGATGGCCTTTGTGCTTTCCACGCGAGGACAGTTAACCCTAAAAGGGCCGGGTTATTTTGACCATCTCTCAGCGGGGGGGGGGGGGGGGGGGGGCGGATTCCGCCCACCCCCCGCAAGATTTCGGCCATCGAGTGAGGAATAGGTTTGAAAATCGGTACATGCATAGAGCAACTCATTATGAACATACCCAAGAAAATTCGTGACTATAGGTCAAAGGGTTTTGGAATTATGGCTAGTTAATTGTGCATATGTACGAATGGTAATTCTGCTATGTGTACACGACGTATACGGGAAAATTCAGTTTTCGCCGGAAAATGTTTATGTTTTTGGTATCAAGAGATTCGCAAGGCTCGAGGCAAAAAAGTCATAAGAGCTCGGGTAGCGAAAAAAATTTCAAAGCTTTCGCGGAAAAAGTTGAGGGAGGCGGATTCCGCCCCAGCCCTTTTAGGGTTAACACGTCTTCGTCAACATGAGAATTTCGTTCTTAGATCTATGCGTTGCAATTAATTCAGAACCACTTTTGTATTATTTTATTCTTGTCTATCTCAATATTGTATGATTAATGTAATTGGTTGTTACTTGACGATTCATTGTCTGGATGAACACTTATAGAGGAGTTTGTCCTAGCGCATTCATAAATATTCGGTCGAGCGATTCGGCAGCACCTGGAGACCGTTACTTTCTCGTGCGGTCTTGTTTTAAAATTCCTTGACTGAGCACAGCCATAAATTTCTATCGCAGTTTTCACTTATTTTTGTGAGTCAGCATGGTTTTGCCATGACTGCCTTGTGCAATGTCAGATAGGGCACTTACCCAAGAACCCCCAGTGAGTACTGTTCATATTATTTGCACTTACTAAGGACAGAAAGTGAAGTTTGTTTGTGTAAAGTTACCGAGCTGTTTCATGTTTATTACACTCCAGCTATGACTAAGACTTCAGTTGGTGTCCTTTCATAGGGATGAGTGAATAAAGTGGGCAGCATGTCCTGCAGGGTTAATAATTTGGCTCTGCTCATACGTTCATGATGCCCCGGTGTTTGTCCTTTTTCACAAAATGGCCAATATGAGAAACCCCCAGAACTGATTTTTTTTTGGTAAATTGGCTCGTAATTTTTGAGATACGGGTCAACGAACTTTTGATTAATTAGCATGACCTCCGAACTTTAAATACTTGTATTTCAAAAACTATAGCGCCTACAAAGCCAAGTTGTACATCATATTAAAGCTCTTTGAATTGCCTTTTTTCATAAAATAAAACCGAAATCATAGCATGAAGCGCAGAGAAAATGCGTATAACGAAATGACCTTTGACACTTAATTACGAAAATCAAGATGTTTCAAATTTCGTAATTGTTTTTCTAATGTTAGTTTATGATGTCAGCAACAATCTCAAAAAAAATTGCGATGGGTGCTCTTAAAAGTTTTTTAGTTATGATTTCTTAAAGATATCATGTTCAGGAAAAAAAACCTAATTTGCATATATTTACATTCAGATGTACATACAGCAAGTGCACGTTGACAGTACATTGCCCTTTACAGCCTTAGATTAATTAGAACATACCAACATGTCCATACCTTATTGCAAACAAAAATGCCACTGGTCTGCCGTGGCCAAGAAAATCAGCCATTTTCAGGATAACTGGGATTCTGATAGGGGTGCACTTTTAAGGGAATTTGCCACTCAAAGTTTAGGAATTAGGACATGCAAACATTTACTTCCATTCTATAATTTGTCCGATTCTCCATCCCTCAGTGCCAAAACAACATATTGTCACTTACTGTGGCCATTCCCTGTATAACTGGGATTCAGATAGGAGTGCACCTTTAAAGGGGAGTTACCACTTTAAAGTGCAGGAATTAGAGCGCACCAACATTGAAATATATACTTTTACTTTCACATTTTCCGTCCCTCATTGCAAAAACAAATGCCAGTGTCTGCGTTGGCTAAAATATAATCAGCCATTTCTAGGATAATGGGATTCTGATAGGAGTGCACCTTTGATTGGGTGAATTACATGTACATGCTGAATAGGCCAACAAGCTGACAAAGAGGCAAGTCTTGATACCCAAGGGTTGATGATAATGTAGTACATGATGAACTTAGTTCCCACTTTGTGCAGTAAATCCCTTAGGAAAGAATGTCAGCGCCCAGGTATACTGGCTCTCTATATCGCAGTCAAAAGGTACCTTAGCATGGGTAGTTTTTGACAAACTCTACGTTATTCGAAAGCTGCTGAA